GGAGGTTTAAACAATAAAAACATAAATGAACTGATAGAAACAGGTGAATATTTGTCTGATATCAAAATGGAGAAAAAAATAATTCTAAGATTGAAAGAACTTTAGATAAATAAAATGATAGGTTTTACAAATGTAGAATTTAAAACTTATAAATCAAACAAGTTTATAATTTAACTAGAGGCCCAGTACACGACATTTGTGCATTGTGGGGTCGGGGGAAGGGGAGTCCCTCAGCCCGGCCTGCGCCCTCTTGCAGTCCAGGAGCCCTCAGAGGATGTCCTACTGACTGCTGTCAGACATCCTAGTGCTGCCGGGAGGCGGGAGAGGAAATAATCTGAACTGAGAACTATAACTCTTTAATATAGTGTTGAACTGGAAAGAAGCAATTGACATTCAGGGCAGAAGCCACAAGGCAAAGACTTTGAAACAGGAGGACCAAGGTTCAATTTGAGGACCTGGAAGAAGGCTGATTTGGCACCTGAACAGATAGAACTAGGGAAAGCATTGTGTGAGATGGAGTTGGAGAAGTCAGCACATGCAGATTATGGGTGTTGGCTTGAAATGCTGGGGAGCTACTAGAGAAGTGAGAAAAGAGTGACATGATGGGAGTATTTTGATTGCTTTGTGGAAAAGGAATTGGGAAAGGGGAAGATGGGGTGCAACATAGCAATGGATGAATGAAGACTTTTATTAATCAATTCAACAAGTATGTATTGAGCACACATGGTACCTAACATCATGGACCTTGTACTAATATTTTGTATGATAGTGGTGTCTTCTATTCCTATTGAAGACAAATTCACAAATAAAAAAAAGAAACAAGTAAACAAATCATGACAGATTTTGAAAAATGGCTACATAGGTACTATGAAAAGAGAATGCCTAATTTCTTCAGGAGTTCATAAAACCTCCCTGTTTTTTTTCTTTTTAAGCATTGCCTCAAATCTCAGCAACAGCATACTCATTAGACACCATTGCTTCAGCATTTTCATTATATTTAAAAGAAAATTTCTAGTCTAGCCTTAGGTTTAAATGTATAAAGTATGATATTTAATATAATAAACCTAAGTCTGTAACCAACACACAAAAATTCATTTTATCATTTAACAGTATATCATATATAATCACACAGTAATTTATTCATCTCACAAATGCTTACTGAACACAAGTTAGAAGGTAATTGCTGTATTTTGGACAGGAGATAATGCTTAACTTGGACTAAGTTTGGCAGTGGGGAGAAGAAGACCCATTTTAAGAAATATTTAAGATTGTGGAGAGATTGGATATACACAGGAGAAGGAAGTGCCAAGGATAATGCTCAGGTTTCCTGTTTACACATTCAGATAGATCATGGCACAGTTCACTGGAATAGAGGGAAGAAACATTCAACATTGCTAGTTATTGAGGAAAATACAGACCACAACTGTGAGATACTATTTTCAGCTATCAGACATACAAAGATTAAAGAAAAGATAATGCTTGACACAGAAAGAAGACATGAAAGACCAGTATTCTCACACACTGCTGGAGAAGCAGAGGGCATTTGCGATACACATTTGAAACCTTGAAAACATTCCTACCCTTTGATCCAGTAATTCCATGTTAATACAAAGAGTTACTTATATTAAGGAAAATTAGGCAAAAACTAAATGCCTAATTCTAGGGAATTGATAATATAAATTATCACAGCTAGTTTGATTACTATATAATCATTAAAAACAGACAAAAAATTTGGAAGAACATTTAATAAGATGAAAACATGCATATATGAATAAAAATTCAAAACAGTGTTACTTGGGAAGTTATAATTGTATGTTAAAAACAAAAACAGATATGTGTAAAAATTACTGAAGGAAATTAACCATGATGTGAGTTACAGTTGTTGTTTCTAGGTAGTAGGATTATATGTGATTTTTATTTTCTTAACACATTTCTGTAAGTATTTATCAATAGCTGCTTATGAATTTATAATTAAAATGTTAAATACATATAAGATAAAGTTTATACAATACTAATTACTGTGATGATGTTTCAGTCTTTCCAGTGTCAGCCTGCCTTTAGCTAAGATAATTCCAATAGTAAATGGACAGATCCATTCAGTTTGCAGTGAAACACCTAGTCATTTTGTTCAGGTAAGAAGAAAGCTTTGGGGTATTTGGGGTATTAAAACTAGATTGCATTAACATTTGTTTTTGTCATTCTTTAAACTTTAACAATCTGGAAAAATATGAAGTGTTATCTTCTGTGGTCAATTGAGCATCTTTCGTTGCTTGTTGGCCATTTGTTTATACTTTAATGATCTGTTCAAGCTATTTCCCATTCTTTTATTGATGTGGTTTTCTCTTTATTAATGAGTTGTAGAAGTTCTTTATAAATGCTCATAAAAGTCCATTGTCAGATATATAGGTTGTATTTGGGTTTTGTTTTTGTTTCTTGGATGTTTGGGGGTTTTTTGTTTGTTTTTGTAAAGGTGTCTTTTGATTATGAAGTTTTTAAGGTTAATTACACTTATTTTCTTATCTAAAAAAAATACAAAAACTAAATTGTATTCTTGGATATTGTCCTGTTTGTCTAATATAAAATTGCACTTCCCTCCTGTGATACTTGTTCAAAGAAATAAAAAACTTAAAATCATATGTTAAGTGTGATAGAATGCCCATGCGAGTAATAATGTATCATGGCAAATTTATGAGGTTGGGAATACCTTTCTCCATGTTATAGTCCAACACCTGACAGACTATATTATAGCCCTGATAAAATCTAGCAGTCAGTTGAATTTACAGTGTTAATGTTTTGCACTAAGCTGTGTTAGCATATTGAGCCTTAAGGCAGATCAGTTATACAAGTCCTCAAATTTTGAGAATAAAAAAACTCTTATGGAGAAGTAAAACATTTTAATAATTAATATAACTATTAATAATACACCAATAATTTGCTCATTAAAGCTACATAGACAGTGGGCTGTTTAAATTTTTCCCTAGACTACCTATTTCTCCATCTTCTTTCTTAGGAAAGCATTTCAGAATGCATGGGTTAAGACTGATATTATTAAATGGATAACTTTAAATCCGTGTTAAGTGTTTTTTATCTGAGTCATTTGCAAACTTGGAAACTGTATTATAAGTAAAGAATTACTTGCAGTATACCTCAATTACAAACTACCTCAATAATGTGCAGTGAGAAGAGTCCCTAGGCGTAAGGGTAAAGATGGCATCCCTCATATAAGAACCTAACCAATAAATATCTCCTAGAATTTATTATAAGAAAAAATACTCCTTTCATTAAATGGTTTTTGGGTTTTTTTGGCTTTAACACCACAAAACTTAGCGCTACACTCCTTTCTTGATTGCAGAAGTGAATTCAGATTATCTACACATTTCAAACTGTAACATTTTGTTGTCATCTTTGTAGGATCTGTTGATGATGGAGCAAGTGAAAGACTTTGCAGCTAATGTCTATGAAGCTTTTAGTACCTCTCAACAACTGGAGAAATGACTTTTTCCTTTCAAAAAACCTACAGTGGAATTAATTTACTTTTAAATATACACTGAATAAGTCAACTATATAAATATAGGGTAATGATTTGTTACCAAAATGCCTAATAAAAAATATTCTGAAAGTCTTCATTCATAATAAAAGATTTATTTGTCATCTTTATTTTTTAAAGTCATCAACAGACTAACTAGTTTTTGTGGGCATATCTGAATGTACACAGCACACAGATCAGAATTTGTTATACCATGGATATTAGTTCCAAATGGACTGAAAACTAAATGTAGATACTTGTTTTGTATAATATGAAACTCAGTATACTTTGACATTGATACTGAGGTAAAATCTCTTTGGGAAGTAGGTGTGAGGTTTGGAAAATATGCTATTTAATGAATCAAAGTTCACTGAACTGCAGCATACAGTAGTAAATCAGACTTTTCTCCAGTTACCCCTCAAAGGATTAAATTATGTGTCTTAAATATATTTGATGGAGGACTTTGCTTTTTATGGAAATCAGTGAATTTAACAACCATGACCAGCATTCCTTTTTCTTCACTGTTGTTAACAATCCTTAGAAAATCACATAGTGATTTAGAGGCTAAATTGTGTTGATGCCGTTTACTCACATTATTTTAACTACATACTGTCATTCATTTGTATGTAAATAACTTTAATAACTTACTTTGTATTGATTTTAAGCACAGTGGATATTGCAATAAAATATTTTAGTAAAATATGGTTTTGTTAATACTTTATAGCCATTAACTTATTTGTTCCATAGGAAACTATATTTTGTTTATCCATTCATCTGTTGATGGACATTTGGGTTGCTTCCGCCTCTTGGCTATTATGAATGATGCTCCTATAAGCATGAATGTGCAAATATCTCTTGAAGACCCTACTCTCAATTATTTTGGATATTTACCCAGAAGTGGGATTTCTGGATCATGTAATAGTTCTGTTATTAAGTTTTAGAGGACCTTCCATACTGATTTTCATAGTGGTTACACCATTTTACAATCCAACAGTGCACATGGGTTCTAGTTTCTTTACATCCTTGCTAATACTAGTTGTTTTGTTTTTTGACAGTAGCCATTCTAATGGGTGTGAGGTGACATCTCGTGATTCTGATTTGCATTTCAGTGATTAGTGATCTTCATATTCTTGTTGGCCACATGTAAATCATCTTTGGTGTAATATCTATACAAGTCCTTGCCCATTTAAAAAAAAATTGTATTGAGCCCAGCCAGTGTGGCTCGGTGGTTAAGCATCGGTCAGTGAACCCGGAGGTCAGTTATATTCTTCGTCAGGGCACATACCCAGACTTCAGACTCAATCTCTAGTAGGGAGCATGCAGGAGACAACTGATCAATGATTCTCTCTCATAGTTAATGTTTCTATCCCTCATCTTTCCTCTCTGAAATCAATAAAATTATATGAAAACAAACAAAAAAAAAAACCTCCCTACAAACTAAAGCCCTGGACCAGGTGGCTTCACAGGTGAATTTTACCAAAACAAGATGATGACTACAAAGAAAGAAAATTATAGGCCAATATCCCTGATGAACATAGATGCTGAAGTCATCTACAAAATATTAGCAAACTGGATCCAGCAATATGTTGAAAAGATCATACACCATGATCAATTGGGATTTATTCCAGGGATGCAGGGTTGGTACAATATCCATAGCATTTTTGCTATTATGTTGGGGAGACACTATTTTTCAAGTTTCACTTTAATTGGTAATATAATTGATGTCTTTTAATTTGTTTAGAAAAAAATAAGTAGCATTTCCTTCTGAAAATAAGTAATTCATTTTCTTTAGTAAATCTATAGTGCTATGTTTATGTAGGAAATTAGGACAGAAATAAATCATGTATCATTAGTATATTAGATATACTAGTACTAGTATTTTCAGTAATATAAGAATATTTTCAGTAACATCATTTTATGTTCCTCCAACATAAATGTAGCTCATTAGTGGAAGGCAGAAAATGAATTATGAAGTCTTCTAAGTCCAGGCTAGGCCTGGCGCCAACAGCTAGAGAGTCTATGTCTAAAATGTTAAAAAAAAAAAAATTTAAATGTGGGAGGAGGGCAAATGCTTCTTTTCAAAATGTGACAGAATATGTTATTTCTAATAGGGAGATATAACAACTGCATTTTGGGAAACTAGTAAATGTGTGTATAATAGGGTATCTCTTCCAGCAGTATTAATCCAGGATTTCGTCCAAAGAAAATTTGAGGCTGAACAGATGTGGCATTCTAAAGATAAAGTGATCAGCTGAAAATTACCACCTACCATCATCTGCATCTGTAGTTATGGCAACTGAAGAGATGACAAGGTAAAAAACACATATATTTGAAGTTAATTGACCTTAGACATTATAAACTTGTCTTCTCTCAGTACAGTAGGAACCCTCTTGTCGGGAACCCTTAGTTGTTTGGTTAATCCAAAAAGTCACTAAAGCAGGGATCATAAAAAATAAATAGCCCTGGCTGGTGTGGCTCAGTTAGTTGGAATGTCATCCTGTGCCTGAATGGTCACAGGTTTGATTCCTGGAAGAGTATGTACTAAAGTGTTAATAGTAGTGATCTGAACAGTGACTTTACCTTTGAGCATTTCTGTGTTTTAAAATATCTACAGTGAACATTTATTAGTTTTATTACCACAAGGAAAAAAAAACAATTTTTAAAATAAAAATACAATTACTATAAGCATTGGATATATATATTGGGCCAAATTTATTATATACCTTCCAGTTGTATTAGTCTTCTAGGATTGCCATAACAAAATGCCACCCACTGGGCAGCTTAAACAACAATAATTTATATTCTCACAGTTCTGAAGGTGGACAATTCTAGATGTCAGCCGGTTTGGTTTCCCTTGAGGCCTCGCCTTGGCCTGCAGAGGGCCCACCTTCTCACTGTATCCTTACATGGCCTTTCCTCTCTGCTTGTGCATCCCTGGTGACTCTTTTATAAGGACACCAGTCATATTGGATTAGGGCCCCCACCCCTGATTTTATTTAACCTTAATTATCTCCTTAAATGCTACACCTCCAAATATAGTTGCACTGGTGATTAAGGCTTCAACATTTGGAAGCAGACACAATTCAGTCCTTAACACCACCAACTGCTAGCTACTCTGAAACAAAAATTTCCAACTCTGAATTGCACATGAAATTAAATTCACTGTGGAGAGACTTTAACAGCAAATATGGGGGAGAGAGAAAATTTCCTCCACCCTTCTAGGTTCTTCCAGCTGGTTTAATCAAATCAACATGAAACAGATAAGAGAAGATAATCAAATTTAATCACATGCGTGCATATGAGAACTCCACACACATGAGAGGTTCAGAGACAGGAAGTTAAAATGAGGCATTTATGACATTCTGAGCTAAGCTTGAGGAGTAAGGAAAGGCCCATGGAGGCTTCAGAGGGAGGGAGGTCTTTGCAGCAGGATGAAGAGAAAATCAGATGCTCAGTACTTTGAATTTTGTCCTGCCCTATCATAGAAAGGTCATAAGAAGTTATTTCTTTCCATGATGTGTACAGCGATGACTGACATTTCTTGGTCAAAAATGTCAAGTGGGAGAACATGTGCAAGGTTTGTGATTGCAGAATTAAGTGGAGATGGTAAAGATTGTTAACTGACCCAAGAAGGCTTGTAACAACACTATTCTTGGAATTATGTGGATTTTCTCCTTTGTTTTTAATACTAATTTCTATTAACAAAATTAAATATCCTGTCAAAGATTTTTAAGATATTCTTTGTTTACTTTGTAGATCTGTCAGTTTACTTGAAACATTAAAATGGTGAGAAATATATATTTTTTTAAATATATTTTATTGATTTTTTTACAGAGAGGAAGGGAGAGAGATAGAGAGTTAGAAACATCGATGAGAGAGAAACATCGATCAGCCGCCTCCCGCACATCCCCCACTGCGGACGCGCCCGCAACCAAGATAATGCCCTCAACCGGAATCGAACCTGGGACCTTTCAGTCCGCAGGCTGACGCTCTATCTACTGAGCCAAACCGGTTTTGGCAAGAAATATATTTAAAAAAAAAAAAAAACAACACCAAAAATGTATCTCTGGTGATAACTCTTACTATGGGCAAGGCCCCAAATTTAAATTCCTTAAGGGAGAGATAAAAGTTTCTCAATGAGCCTGAGTCTCAATTGCCTTCAGCTCAAAAGAATACATTCCAAAATGGCGCATCTTGGCGAGGCCTGTTCTGAATGCAAGGTCACTGGAGAGCTATAATAGTTACATGGGTAATTTAAGGAGTAAGAGGGGAAACGGACTGTATTGCCTAAATAAGTACTTGACTTTTCTTGACCCATTTTACATTTGCTTTCTCCATGTGCTATAATTATAGAAACCTGATATTTTCTAGTCTTAGATGTAACTGCAGCATGAACCACTCCGCTGCACATTAGATCACGTTAGTTAGTGCTAGAGCCCAGCCCCATTTACAAGGCATCTGATGAAAGGTGAGATGTGGCAGTTCCACCATAATGCCGTTTTTCTCCAAAGAGATCCATTTAAGTGGCTGTCCATGTCCCAGTAGCTTAACCTGAAATTAAAACACACACACAAATGTCTCCAGGTATATCTGTGACTTGCCCACTTTATTGAGAAGGGGTGGTTGATATTCCTTAAAAGTATTGTAGACAGAAGATTCATTTTTTACTTTTATTTAGTAGTTCACAAGCTATAATTAAACATTAGATTTCAACTCCATCTTCTTTTTGGCCTGATCAACCATAAGCGTTAGAAATGAAATATGAAAATACGATGCAAGGAGAAGCATGTGGACAATTCACCTCCAAGAAAATTGTTGATTTCTTTAAAATAAGCTATAAAATATATCAAAATGAATTCAATACCAGACTTAGTGGTTATAACTATTAGATTAACCTTTAACTTTCTCCAAAGTATTTTATGAACTTAACATAGTAGGGCTAAGACTTCTTCCTTTTATTCTAATGTGTTCTGGGTGGGATGTCAGGGGAAGAATACAAATTCCAGTTTTATGAAGAATCATTTCAGATGCATACAGTGAACTCGAACAACATAAAACAACTGTGAGGAAGAATATTTTACATTGATGTGAATGGAGATGACTTATCTGCTTTATAAGTTTAGTTTTCTGGGAAATGAAAAAGAAATTTTCAAAGGTTCTGGCCAAATATTGCCATTAATGAAGCTCATTTTAAAATTACTCTTATGGGTAAATAAGAACAACACATATAAGGATCTCCTTAAAGTTAAAAGTTATGTTTTTATCAGGATATTCTTGTCAACAATTTAAAGGAACAATAAAGATAAAATTCCCTCTTACCTCTATTGACCCCAGAGTAGCTTTGGGTTGGCCAAGAAACAGCTGTCCTGATGTGGGCCATTTGAGAAACATGGCATAGACCAAGTTTTCTTTAGCTTTTGAGGTGTACCTGGTTAAAAGGGGAGGAAAGCATAGTAATATTTCTCATTATTTATAGGTCAGGTCTGAGTTATTTATAGAGATACTTCCATTTGGTAAATATTTACCAAGTGGGAAAGAGCTCTCACAGTGAGGAGGGGAGAACAGGGCCACCTTAGGTAGGTGACATTGGTAGGAGCCAGAGATGGGGCTTTACAGGCCTTGTCGAATGCCTTGACTTTTTATCTTTATTTATTTTTTTAAAGATATGTTTTTATTGATTTTAGAGAGAGGAAGGGAGAGGGAGAGAAATGGAAACATCAATGATGAGAGAGAATCATTGATCAGCTGCCTCCTGCATACCCCCTATTGGGGATTGAGCCTGCAACCCAGGCATGTGCCCTGACCAGCAACAAATTCATGACCTCCTGGTTCATGGCTTGCCACTCAAACATCAAGCCACACTGGCCAGGCTTATCTTTACATATTATAATAAAGGAAACTTGATGGAATAACTGTTAATGATTGTGAAGTCCCAGATCAGACACTCTCATAGTCAAATATAAGTACAGAAAAAAATTCCACAACCAGATTTAAACTGGGCTCTGTGAAATGAAGGCTCAGTACTGAGTTCTCATTATGGCTTCTCACAGACCCAAAGTTCTAAAATTCTACAACAGGTTGCTTCTGTCTGCATTGCCTTAGTTTATTTTCTTCAATGTGCTAACAATTTTTTAAAGTCACAATTCAAGTGAAATCAAAGAACAGTTAGTCTAATCTTTTGAATTATACTTGATCAGCTATACTCACTTTGGTAGCAACACAAGGTGAATTTTTAGAGCTCCACTCATACTACTCTTATCTACACTAATAAAAGAGAAACATGCAAATTGGTGTCACTTCGCTATGCCCACCAGCCAATCAGCGCAACTATGCAAATTAACCCAACAAAGATGGCAATTAATTTGCATATGCAGGCACGGAGCGAAGACTGAAGGCTCCAGCCAAAGTGAAGACTGAAGACTAAAGACTGAAATCTTCGTGCAACAGGCTCCGAACCTCGCTGGGTCCTGGGTGTTGGCAGCCAAGGGAAGGAAGGCCTATTGCACGAATCTTCGTGCAACAGGCTGCTAGTGTGTATATAAAAACCTCACATTAGAAACCATCACATATGCAGAGTCTGATTCAGGTTCTCATTGGCCCACAGAACCTTCCAAAACTCAGGGGCCTGAGGCAAGGCTTTTAAAGAAAAATACAGCAAAAAGAAAAATTATCAAGTTAAGATAATTGATTTTAAAGAAACTTAAGGTTTAGATTTACTTGGACACTATAAACAAGTTACAATTATTTTAATCAACTAGTGCTGTTATTGGAGCTGATTTTTAATATTTTTTCATGCCCTTTAGCACTTCTTGCTTGCTAATTTGATGTGATACGACATCTGCAAATGTTAGAATTTACTTAACTAACTAAACAGAAGTCTCTCTTTTGGATTAACCACTCAAGGTTTTTCAATTTTCTAAATGGCTTGTAATTTTTATAAGAGTTGACTACTTTTCACTAAAATTTGTCAACTATTAAGAGGTATCTAGAGATAATTTGAGCTCAATTTGCTAAACAGTAAGTGTTCAAAAACATGCTTCCCCTTCCTTCTCTTCATAGAAAATAAAGTTTGGAAAGTGTTTTGTATAGAAAGGCATTCATCCAATTTCCTCTTTTATCCTATTTTTCTCTTTATATCTGAGAAAATTTAAGTGCCTTCTTTTATCAGATAGTACTGATAAAAGAATAACTTACCACACATCTGGGGTGACAGTGTCATTCTGGGATCTCCAAGTGTTGGTTTCATAAATGGCTTCTCCATTGACTTTTAGCCAGGTCCCCATTTGCCTTAATCGCTCCTCAAAAATTGGAGAAATGGTCCCATCCTTAGTGGGCCCAATATTCATCAAAAGATTTCCTCCACATGAAACTGTTTCTACAAGTTGCTAAAAATAAAAAAATAAGAATACATATAGTTTTTAGAGAGATAAAGCAATTCCATCACAAATGTATTAATATGTTGTATTTATGGGTTTATAAATAAATATTTGGTCACTATCTAGGAGAACAAGCATGGAAGACAGAACAGTGCCCTGTATTTATAAGCCACTGAGCTATACAAACAAAAAATGATTCTCACACACCCACACTATTAAGAATATTACCACAATTGTTACTAGACATTTCACTGTACCTTCACCAATTCTTCAATTGTAAGGTAGTCACGGATTCCTGCATTCCTCCTATAGCCCCAGGAAAACTTGTCTATTGTCATGCAGTTTTCCCACTTATGTGGCAGAAGATGTCCTGGGTTATACCTGTCACTGCAGGTATAGTAGCCACCATGCTTACAGATGCTACCAGCTCCCCAACGGTCATTGGTGACTACTGTGTCCCGAACTGGGCTGGAATGAAAAACATACTTTTTAAAAACAAAAAGTAAAATTTTTCAACACAAGAGGAAATGTCACTAAAAAGTGGTCTGACTGAAATTTACTCTTAAAAATGCACTAATAAATGTGTAATATAATACAAAGCCCATGGTTTTGAAGTCAAATGGACCTGGGCTGCCTACAGTCCTGTCCCGCTCACTTTCTAAGCTTCCTATCCTACAGCAAGGTACCTATTCCTCTGAGTGAACAATTTCTTCAGCTCTCATTAGAACAGAAAAGTTTATATGACACACCTTAGTCCAGTGTTCAGCACATACAGCACGAATAAGAGTATTACACTATTTTTTTGAAGCTTGCCCCCAATATTGTGAATGATACCCAAAACTGAATTCACAATGAAGACATTCTTCTCACCATTGCCTGAATCATCTCATCTCTTTCTCATACAATTGTGCCTAATACTGAAATATTTCAGGTAAGTCGACTTGCAATCATGAAATTCACTGTGGTATGAAATATCCTACAATATTGTTTCTCATAAGAGGTGGTTCCTCCAGCACCTCTCTACTGAGAGGGGACCCCCATTTTGATTCACAAATTGAAGTGGATGGCTCCCAGTCTTTCCCATTGGAAGGGGTACCTGCTGTTCTAAATATCAAGGCCTATCCAGAGTATTTATATGTCCGCCCTTTGTGGGCCCAGGGAACACAGCAGAACACTCCCTGACTTCATAACACAGTACCAGGTACCTCCTAGTTACAAATATAAATTTGTTCCATCTAGTTTAAGCCTAAATAGCAGAGCTCAGTCAGAACTCCCTGTGCCAATGGGACAGGCTGGAACACGCTAGAAAGCAAAAGGAAAGAACAGGAAGAGGTGAGAATGATGAAGGAAAAAAGGAGACAGACAAGGGGGACATGGACTGGTTATCAAAGAGTAAGAGGATGAACAGAAGAAGCAATTAGAGGAACTGAAGAGCACATAAGCAGAAACAGTCATGGGTAAATATAGTTGTCCCAGGACAGGAGATGAAAAAGGGGACCCACAAAATTAATGTCTTCAAAATTCTGCATTCTGTGATTTTTGGTCCCACTTCAAAATTTAACTCTTGATTTGTAATTCTTGATTATTTTGAGTAAATACTGATATATCTAATAAGAATTATTTATAATGATTTCCTCCCCCATATCATACATGAGCCTGAAAGGAAATATTTCAAGAAGCAAGGGAATGAAATGTTATGCATGTATTAGGAACATTTAAGGTAGCTACAGCAGTCTAACAGCATACACGCCTTTCATTGTACAGCCAAGCTAAGAAACCTGTGCTGTTCCAGTAGCAATCGGGTGCCCCTCCATCACCATCTGCCCACAGGACCTCCGGCCGGTACTTGTTCACCAACTCGTAGAGCTCGGGCTGCATCTTAGAAACTGGAAACTGTCGCTTCTGGAAGGAGCTGGATTCATCATCAAGGAAGAGCAGATGAAACCACTCAAAAAGGGAATAGTAGAGTCCAAAACGCAGGTCAGTCCTGTTCCTAATGGCTACCTCCAGTTCCTTGACGACGTCCCTCGTGGGCCCCTCATCTACAGCATTCCAGTTCCACGAATGCTCTGAACCCCACAAGGTGAAGCCTGCACAATTAGGTTAACAACCTGTGTAAGTAGGCCCACTTTATTTTAGGTAAATCTCTACCAATGCAAATGCAAAAACATATCTAATCATTCCGATGGTATATAAATAACTGCTTCTACAAACAACTGTTATGGCAATATTTTTTTCATGATATATATTCTGCTTTTATATGAGCAACAAGTGAGACTTTAAACAAGGTAAACCGTGGTTTTTAAAAGTAACTCTCACCTGGCCGGCGTGGCTCAGGGGTTGAGCTTTGACCTATGAAGCAGGAGGTCACAGTTCGATTCCTGATCGAGGGCACATGCTCGGGTTGTGGCTCAATCCCCAGTATGGGGCATGCAAGAGGCAACCAATCATTAATTCTCTCTCATCATTGATGTTTCTATTTCTATCCCTTCCCCTCTCCCTTCCTCTCTGAAATCAATAAAAACATATTTAAAAAATAAATAAAAGTAACTCTCAGGGTACTGACAATATCTGTAGAATCTAATCCAGCCGTGGGCAAACTACGGCCCACTGGCCAGATCCGGCCCATTTGAAATGAATAAAACTAAAAAAAAAAGACCGTACCCTTTTATGTAATAATGTTTACTTTGAATTTATATTAGTTCACACAAACACTCCATCCATGCTTTTGTTCCGGCCCTCCGGTCCAGTTTAAGAACCCATTGTGGAAAAAGTTTGCCCACCCCTGGCTCTAATCTGTCTTCTGTGTTTTCCCTCAGAGAATACAAGCTCCTTGAGGAATGGCATCATGTCTGCCCTGTTCCCTGTTATAGTCCCCTCCAGCTGCAAGCACTCGGTCTAACACGAAATCAGCAATCGACATGAGGTCACAGCTAAGATTAAAGTAGGTTCCCGCTTTTAGGGTTATTTTATTATAGTGTGATTCTTAGAACGCTGGTGATCCTTGTATAGCAATAAATCTGTTCACGAGGGGGTGGAGTGGAGTTGAGTAAGACTCTAGTCTGTACTTTAAAATACTTGACCCACCATTTGTAATCTCATCTACTCTAAAGTCGTAAGCTAAGATGTTGCTTCTTAAATTACCTAAAAGTGAATTATCTACCAACCACATAGGTCCTTCCATGCTGTCTCGAAGGTGCAGTGTGGATATTTTAAACCCTGATTCAAAATGTTTCAACTTGTCAGGCCCTAAGGTCAAGCAGTGCTGAAACCACATGGGTCTCCAGCTGTGTCACCACTGTTCGCTCACACAGTGGTCTTCCTGCCTAACAAGCCCAGCAGGATCTGTTCCATGAGCAATGAAAACACCTGACAGCATGGGTCCTAGGAAGTTTATACATGTGAGCTTCATCGTCTGTCCTCACAGTATGACCAAGAGTGGCTTTGTCTGTTGGTTGAATAAGCTCACTGTGTAATACCTTGTCCTTACAGCTCGGAGAAGTTCTAAGAGCAAGGAAATCAACACATTCACAAACAAATACACATCATACATATTCATCCAATAGGAGAAACGTCTATAGGAAAATCATTAAGCCACTAGAATTCGGGTAAAGAGGAAAAGATTCTAAGATAATTCCAGATTTGTGGTTTTGGTTCTTCCCTCCTACTCCCCTCCCCACCCTTGAAAGAAGCAATAGGGCAAGATTTCTTATACGAAGGCAAAGATGATCTTGCAGAAGAAATTGCCAAGTGAATTAACATTAAGTTGAAATAATAACAATTTATTGATGCTTCTTTGATCTTATTCACCTTTGAATGTTGAATGATAATGGGTGGAAATGATCCTATTAATGTAGGACCACAGTGATGATTAACTTTACTAGTATCAATTTGACTAGTAGGCCATAGGGTACCCAGATATTTGGTTAAACATTATTCTTGGTATGTCTATGAGGGTATTTCTGCATGAAATTAACATCTGAATAGATAAACTGAGTAAAGCAGATTGCCCTCCCCAATGTTGTGGGCCTCATCCAATCTGTTGAAGGCCTGAATAGAATAAACAGCTGAGTTAGAAAGAATTCTTTCTCTCTGCTTGCCTTTGAGCTGAGATATTGGACTTCTTCACCTTTGGACCCAGGCTTGAAATAGAACCTACATCAACTCTCCTAGTTTTCAGGCCTTCAGGCTCAGGCTGGAACTACACCATCAGCTCCTATGGCTAGAACTACACCATCAGCTCCTGTGTCTAGACCACTCAGCCTCCATAATTGTGTGAGTCAATTTCTTGTAATAAATCTCTTTATATCTCGTATACTTCCTATTGGTTCTGTTTCTCTGGAGAACCCTGACTAACACACCACTGTGTTTCCTTTGAGATATTCTTCCATTTCTGATATTTCTGGGCACCATTACAGTTCCATAATCCTTTTTTTTCTTTCAGGTAATCTGTATCACTTTCATCACTAGCAAACTGTCCACAATTTGGTCATGTAAGAGTTGGTCAAAAGCACGGCCGTGTGTGTCAGTAATGACACAAGACTACAGCGGCCTTACCCCATGATGCCTTCCCAGAATGCATTACAGAGGTGAAATGAAAGGAAAGAGCAGAATTCCAATTATAAATTTGACCTACAACCCACATCCCGTTTCAAATAGCTTTAATCAAATTTTAGAAATATTGTTAAATATGCCTATAACAAAAATGTGATCTCCTCCCTCCTCTGTTATATGGAGGGTATGATCTTTCTGCCTGCCTAATGTCTCTTAATTGGTGGAACATGTGGTCCCTTAAGTTATAAGCAAATGTCAGTAGCCACAAGAGAATACTCTGGTTTCGTGTAGATGACCTTGCTTGAGTTTCTGCTTCCAAATGAACTACTTTACACTTCATAACCATTGTCCATGTTTGCAAATGTTGCAGTTACTTACCCTCATGATGTTTGGAAGTTAAGACAACATATTTGGCACCAGAAGCCTGAAAAATATCTGCCCACTGGTTCGCATTATAAAACTTTGCAGTAAATAGCGGTCCAAAATCTTCATATTTGAAATCAGGAGGGTAATTATTTTTCATAAAGTCCACAAATGTTTGTATTTTTTCCTTTTGCCAATACCACCTAAAGGGACGAACAGAAACAGCATATGAAACATTTGAAATGACCAGGCCAGCTCCCTTTACTAATTCTCCCTCCCTCAAATATTACCCAGATTCACTTTTTCACTTCCCCACTAGTTTGACATTTCCTTAAAGAAAGTTTATGTAAACCACAATCCCCCTCTTATTCCATCTATCCCTCTGTGAAGTCTGCTCAACTCATAAACTAGAACATTCTAGACAACCCAGCCACGCATTTGCTATTAATCCCCACTTTTAAACAGCAACATGAGGTATATATATCTTTGTAACGTAAGTGAGGAAAGCTTTAAAGGGAAAACTCAGTGCCTAAAACACAACATGGATCTACTACCTTCACTAGCAGAGAATAAGTGGGGGAGTAGGCAACAGTAAAATCAAGAAGATGCCGCTATTTTAATCTATTGACTCAGCCTTCAAGGATTCCCTGTTATCTGCATTTATTCTGAGCAGTGGGGCCTAAGCTTCCCAAGCAAAACTTCATGAGGAAAACTGTATCAAAAACATAATTTTACATTTTAGACAGACATAGCAGTAACTTTCCTTATGAAACAGTCTCAAGCCCCATCTCTGACCCATCTTCTACTTTCTCCACCACCACCAGTCAGATACATATTTTTCCAGCTTCCACTGCAGCTTGGACATGGACATGTGACCCATGCTGGTCAATGGAATGTAAGGGGATGCCAACTTGGAAGATTCTGGGAAATGAATAATAAGAAAAACTGGCCTTCCTGCCTTTGGACAAGGTTATGTCAAGTTATGGCCGGCTACCACCATGAGACCACGAAGCAACAAGAGGCTGATGATAACAGAAAGTGTCTATGTCTTTGATTTCATCGATGAGCCAACTACTTCGAATTCTCCTTATGTATGATAACAAGCCCTACTATCGCACATTTTATTTTTCTATACCTTGAAGTGAAAGTATCCTAATTGAGCCACGACACATTTGTACCTTTTAAACTAAACTACAGAAGAAAAAACTGGGACACTCAGAAAGTTGAACAAGGATAAAGGATTTCTCCTATTTCCTCCTGGTACAGCCTAATTTGAACATGCATTCTCTATATTGTCTAGAGCAGGGGTGGGCAAACTTTTCGACTCGAGGGCCACAATGGGTTCTTAAACTGGACTGGAGGGCCGGAACAAAAGCATGGATGGAGTGTTTGTGTGAACTAATATAAATTCAAAGTAAACATCATTACATAAAAGGGTATGGTCTTTTTTTTTTTTTAGTTTTATTTATTTCAAACGGGCCGGATCCAGCCTGCGGGCCGTAGTTTGCCCTAGATCTAGAGCCACTTCTCAAATTTCATCCAAATGGACATGAAAAGAGGCACTTGAACAGTCCATCATTTATATTTGGTTTTGCATTGCCTATAAGGACAACCAGATATACTCATCGGCACTGTTGACTGCCCATGAGTCAAACTGTGAAGGGGAGTAGAGGTTTAGAAAAGTCACAAAGGGAAACCATGATAATTAAAGAATCGTCTACAGCAGCAGTCAACAACCTTTTGGACCTCATGGAGACCACCAGTGGTCTGCGGACCACTGGTTGGTGACCACAGGTCTACAGGGTTAATGCACTTACAGACCATCAGAAATATACTCTATCTTGTTTTGTTTGAGAAGTATTTTTATTGTTCTCGGTCACAACAAAAAGCCCTGTGTTCACTGGACGAAAATAAAAAGTTTACCACTGCAAACAATAAAATTACTCAAAATTAGTTGTCTGTGGCAGAGCATTGGTCTCAATTAACGAACATCAAATCCTCTTCTAGCACCAATTGTATAATTTACCTAATCTTCATAGTTGAACAAAATGATAACTTAATGTATTATCCTATAAAATAAAAGCCTAATATGTAAATTGACCAAACAGCAGAACAACCGGTTGCTATGACATGCACTGACCACCAAGGGGCAGATGCTCAATGCAGGAGCTGCCTTCTAGTGGGCAGTCCGTTCCTGCCTCCACCACCACCAGGCTCTGGAGCAGTGAGTCTGGCTCAAGGCTTCTGGTGGAGCTGCCCTCACCCCCCGCCCCTGGTGGTCAGTGCAGGTCATAGCGACCAGTCTTTCACGGGCAGTTGGGTCAATTTGCATATATATACTCTATAGATAGCATTTATCTTGAAGAATTTAACACCTTAAAGTATTTAATCAGGAAAGGTATGTGAAACACTTCAAAGTTGTAAGAGATTACATGCACATTTTTATACAGACCTCAAGGTAAAATCTATCTAAAGGGCAATACTCTTCATATAGTAAGGTGTTATTTTTATTAAACTACATTCTATCTAGAACGTGTTTTTAAAAATTCCTAGAGGCACACATGGTAACATTTTAACATTGAAGAGCCAGTGAATGCCCAAATGAAGAGATGTTTCCCATACCCATGCATTTATGTTGTCATCACACTTCATGGCAAAACGGCTGAAAATGAGCCGGTAGCTGAGAGGACAACGCCCTCTCCAGGGGCAGTTAAGGTGCAAGCCTCAGTGCTCATCCCGTGCCCCTACACAAGTCCACTGATTTCTGCTAGTTTCCTCGTTGGATGGTTACACTGTAGCGTGATAAACACAAGTTGGCAAGTGCAACTATCCAGGAGCTGAGAAGTCAGAGCCACCTTAAGTGCCTGGCAATAACCGCACTCACACGGAGGAAAAGTCAATGCTTACCCGGGCCGAAAGCTTACACAATAAATCAGACATTTCACACCGGAAATTCTAAACGCGGATAACCCACTGGGAGGCGGGTGGCGGCTGGGGGCCGGGGACAGAAAGAGGGCCCGGGAGACACGGAGGGAGGCACACTCACCAGAACCATTCGCTGCCGAAACTGGGCACGGAGAACACGCCCCAGTGGATGAAGATGCCGAACTTGGCCTGGTTGAACCAAGCGGGCAGCGGGCGGGCGTCCAGGGACTCCCAGGTGGGGTCGAAGCGCGGGGCGCCGCGGGCGGGACCGGGCGCGGGCAGCAGCAGCACCAGCG